AGTCGTCCATATGTAATTAAACCACTTTAGTACTAGACTTCACCATCTATCTCCATCGTTGTAATGCGCCTTCTTTAGGATGCGCTCCAATATCGTTTTACTGCGCATCCTTCCATATCCCATTTGTGCGCGTTCTCATTGATTCCATGTCGTTGTTGTTTGTTTGTTTGTTTTTGTCACGGAAAATGGTTGTTTGATATTCCCAAGGTTGATGTCATGTGATTTATGACATCATCGTTCTATCTTTACGTCACCCAAATGTGACGAAAACCAACTCACCCAGACAGTCTTGTCGTATAATGTCGTGATTTTAGAGACGACGTCGTTGGTTGTGATGACGCCACCCGACTAGATTCTAGTAGTGTTTTTTTTTTCCTTTTCGTCAAAACAGTAACCACACCGCTAATATAATCCATTGGTCAGCATAAAGTATCTGATCCGCGCATTATTCAAATACTTCAAGATTTAGATAACAACCCTACTTCACTAGCGTGAAGGCGGCTTATCCTGTAACACCATTACAGGTTTTTAAAAAAGTGTTAATCAAATCTACAACACAACAATACTATAAGGGGTGGATTACAGACACGTGGAGTGGGTGATTGTTACCTTTGTTTCAATCGATTTATCTATCCATCTCCGCTATGTTTGGTGATTGGTTAATAAATACTGTGGGTATTTGTTAGATCTCAGCCTTTGTTTTTAAAATGTGATACGGATACCCCCCCCCCCCCCCCCATACGGTATAGTTCTAATAATGGTATTGTTACCCCATTGCTGTATAGTACTAATAACAGTTATTCCCTTACCGTATAGTTCTAATAATGGTATTGTTACCTCATTACCGTATAGTTCTAATAAAGGTTAACCCCCCCCCCCCCCAAACCACATAGCTCTAATAGTAATGGTACTCCCTACGGTATAGTTATAAAAATAGTTACGTTACCCTCTTACCTTATTGTTATAACATTGGTTTTATCCCCTTACCGTATAGTTCTAATGAAGGTTACCCTTATCGTATAGCTCTAATAATGGTAATGTTTGTCTTATGGAGCTGAATTGTTAGCGTGTCGGCGCTTACTGTATTGTATGTAAGAAAACGAAGGGTGTATTCAACCGTCATTTTGGTGAGCTGTTTAAATATTTGGTTTTAAAGTTTCGGCGTTCATACACAGATGTCACACAGCTGTAGCACACGGCTATGTGACACGGCTGTAGCACACGGCAATATGACACGACACACGGCCATGTAACACGGCATACTGCGATGTGACACGGTTGTAGCACACGGCTATATGACTCAATCCCTCACAATCCCGTCAATTTGAATCAATTTTTCACCCACTTACGTTGAACCAGTCTCATTGAAACTGAGCAACACACGCGTTTTGAAGTTAATCCGTACATCTCCATAGATTTAGATATTTTTTTAAAGTTGGAGTGAGCTTCCTTAGCGTTCCTCGTATAATCCTATATAACAGTAGGGGTTGTATATTCCTATATAACACTAATAACAGTAAGGTTTGGGACGACTCTTCCAGTGAAGGAGGACTATAGAAATGGTAAATAAGTTTATTACACAAATTTTGTGTGTACAAACATGCACGCTACAAGTAATATTAGAATGTGCTGTTTTATGAGAATACGATAAAAAATCAACTTCTAAAGATTTATTTTTAAAGGGGGATATAGAGTAAAGTACCATTTCCGGTTTCCAAATATCGCTCATACGTTTATAGGAAACTAGGGATAGGATCTTATACTTATATGTGAAGTTACGTCCACCTAAATGAAACAGTACCAAAGTCGGATTTTGAGAATTAGGAAATAGAGTAAAAGACCAATCCCGTTTATCGGAAATCGCTGAAAATTTGAGAAACCTACGTATAGAAACTTATATATAAAACGTTTTCTACCTAATTGAAACGGTACTTAAGTTATTGAGTTCACACACACACACACACACAGACCTGATTGCAAAACTGGTTTCTTTCCGCCTTAGAAGGTGTATAACATCGAGATTTTGTCAAATCCTCGATTTCGATTTTTTTTTTTACTTCCCCCAAATATTCTGTATGCAAAAAAAAGTAATTGGGTGAAATTTTCCGCCCGTAATGACGTCAACGGAATCAGAGTTATAAAAAAGTGTAAATTTGAGAATACGAATACACTCTATAAAGCCCCCCACCCCCTAAATTACTTTTATCCCCCCTCCTCTCCCCCCCCCCCTCCCAATATTTGAGCGCCACCTTTGTTAAAAGCCGCTCCCGCTGTTGTTCACAACTTCAAGAAAAATTAAAACTAAAATTAATTTAACCAGAATATTCAATTAGCAATGGGTGATTTAATTTTTTTTTCGATACAGCTAGCAGTTGGTAGCACATGTCGGTTTGTTTGTGTAGTTCTTGAACACATATTATTCTGCTCTTATGTGCTTAGGCAGTGTATGTATACATATCCTTTAATCCTTATGTGTGTAACGTTGGCGTGTGCGTTAGTTTTTTGTTTTTTTTGTTATGTTAAATTTTCGACACATTCAACTCTTCCTCTTTTTTACTTTTCTCTGTTTATACATTACATAAACATATGCGACTATTCCTGTATGTGTATATTTTGGCGAGTGTGTTGTTTATACATTACATATAAACATATCCGATGTTTCCTGTATGTGTATATTTTTTACGTGTATACTGTTTCTACATTATTACAAATGCGATAGTTCCGTATGTGTATATTTTGACGTGTGTGCTCGCGTTTCTCTACTACACACCTAGTGAGTCGTCTGCTCCTGCATAGTGACGTGTCAGAATGACTTAATCTCGACACCAGACCCATTTGAAAACCCCGCAATTGGAAAAATTCCTCAGCCTTTGCTAGGGGGCTGTAGAGGGATTACTGAGTATTAGGGTGGCTTATCTTTAAGCGCTCTGTTTTATTAAATACATATGTGTATGTTGGGACATGTGTTGAGACGTATGGGTATGTTAGGACGGTGCTTCTCGGGTTGTGTATGAGCAGTCAGTGTATGTGAAGACAGGACTTCTTGTATGGAATATGTTCTAACTTGGTGCAAGTTCTTACTTGGCGTATGTTCCAACATGGTTTATGTTCTCACTTAGTGTTTGTGGGGACAATCTTTCTTGATGGTCTTCTTTTTCGTTTTTAATGGTAATGTTGGACGGTATTTACCCCAACACTGTTAAGTATTACGTGTCTGCTTGCTATGCGCCATATGCGTTGAATCTGATTTCAGCCTGCTTTTCTTTTCTGGATTTGCTACCATAGCCGTTGCCTGTCCTCGTTGCTTGATTTTGTTTGTTTTTTTTCTCTTAGATAGGTTGCTGTCCCCAGCTATCGAGCCTCGTCTACTCTTGGGTTCGAACTTGGGACTTGTCGGTTTAGCAACCGCAAGCTTTACAAGCCTTAACGCGCCGACCCCCTTTTACATGATGTGTGTTCAAACTTGGTGCATATTCAAACTTGGTGCATATTCAAACTTGGTGCATATTCAAACTTGGTACATGTTCTAACTCGGTTTATTTTGTAATTTGGTGTATGTATAAATTATTTATACCTCCAGGTTAGGACTGTAGATTGTAATTTTTAAATATTTTAAGCTCATTTAAAGTGCTGCGGGGACAGTGAAGTCGAATGGTAGAGCTTACAACTGCTAACCCGAAAGTCCCGAGTTCGAATCCCAGGCTGGAGTCTGTAGAACTTTCCTTAATCCACCACCAGCTCTGACTCCCATTAGGGAAACTAAGGCGGCTGGGCATTATGCTGACCACACTGTCCTTTAAACAGATGAACTCTACTTCATCTGTCTTAGGCACGAACGGGTAAAAATTAAATCCCTATGGCCGTTTCACCTTGTCACGATTTACTGTTGTACTTTCTGTGAAGTGCATTTTGAATCAATACAAACATATTATCATAACGTCAGCTCGAAGTCCGATCTATAAACACTGACTGAGAAATACATCGTCTATAATAAAGTACTGTGTGATTGACAGATACATGGAGGCCTAATATTTTCTTTGAGGCCACAGTACATTGTGCTGTAAGGGAAAGGGTTTGATCCTTAGGTTTAGTTTTTGGAGGGACGATGGAGTACTCGGGTCTGTGTATTAAAGCTCATTGTTGCTATACCAAAAAGTCCCGAGTTCGAACCCGAAGAAGAGAGACATTATGTTAGACTGAATTTTGTGATGTTGGTTTTTTTTTAATGATTATATAAAGTCGATTTCAATGCAATTATTTGAAAATAGGAAGCTATTTGTCCACCTATTCCTGTCTTCCGATACTATTTACCGATTCCAGTATACCGATACTTTTTCCTCTGATTATCTTATATAGATACTTATCCACCTATTCCTGTCTACCGATTCCTATCTACCGATTCTTGTCTACCGATACTTGTCCACCGATACTTGTCCAACGTTACTTGTTAACCTATACTTGTCCAACGATACTTGTTATCCTATACTTGTTCAACGATACTTGTCCACCGATACTTGTCCAACGATACTTGTCCAACGTTACTTGTTAACCTATACTTGTCCAACGTTACTTGTTAACCTATACTTGTCCAACGATACTTGTTATCCTATACTTGTTCAACGATACTTGTCCACCGATACTTGTCCAACGATACTTGTCCACCGATACTTGTCCAACGATACTTGTCCAACGATACTTGTCCAACGATACTTGTCCAACGATACTTGTCCAACGATACTTGTCCAACGATACTTGTCCAACGATACTTGTCCAACGATACTTGTCCACCGACTCCTATCCACATAATCCACCAATTACCCACTAACTGGGGATATCTGATTTTATCCATGTCATGTTTGTGTTTGTTCAACCATTATGTTTATTTGACCATTCTGTTTATTTGAGCATAACGTTTATTTAACCATTACGTTTATTTGACCATTGTGTTTATTTAGAGTGTAGTTAAATAGCCATCTCACGTTGTTGTATTTTATCTACAGGCTGAGCCCCACCCCGACACAATGTGTGGCCCGTGTTGATGTTTTAATTCAAGTCTCCCCAATGATCCACTAGGCTTGACCACTGGTCACTCTGCTGACCGTGCTTCACGAATCTATCAGGGGCGTCCACTTCAAGGTCAGTGCCAGACATTGGTTTGGTTCTTACTGCTTCTGTCTCTGTCCACTCTCTCTGACCCCTCTCTCCCAGATCCATGTTCTTTCTCCCCGATCACTTCTCTCTCTTTCACTCATTTTCCATGACCCCCTTTCACTGTCTGACCCTCTCTGCTTGAACCCCTTTCCCTCTTTCTATTTCACACCCTCTCTTTCATATCTTATCTTTCTCTCTGCCCTCTCTTATCTCTTTTCTCTCTTTCTCACTCCCTCTCTCATTGATCCTTTTCTCTGACCCCCTCTCTCCCTGATTCTTCTTCTCTCCTTAAGCCCTCTGCCCAACCCCACTTCTATTTGTCCTTGACCCCCTCCTAATTTACCCCCCCCCCCCCCCACCCCGACTCTGTCGCTGATTATTTAACCTTGTAACCTCCATAATTTCCTTCCTATCACTGTGTACGTCCTATCGCTATTAAAAGCCAAACGATTATCCTTCATCTCACTTCCTCCCCAGCCCTCTTCCAATTTATCATATCTTTATTCCTTTAGAATCCCCCCTATCAACCCACCACCCAAATATAACCCCCATCCAAATATCAACCACCATTCAAATACCCCCCCCCAATCCAAATATCAACCTACCATCCAAATGTCAACCCCATCCAAATATCAACCTACCACCCAAATGTCAACCCCATCCAAATATCAACCTACCATCCAAATGTCAACCCCATCCAAATATCAACCTACCATCCAAATGTCAACCCCATCCAAATATCAACCTACCATCCAAATGTCAACCCCATCCAAATATCAACCTACCATCCAAATATCTTTCCCCAACCTTTCTTACTTTACCTATTTCTCTCTGTAATAACTTATTTCCATCTCTCTCTCTCTCTCTTTCTCTCTCTTTCTCTTTCTCTCTCTCTCTCTCTCTCTCTCCCCTTATCTATACCAAATCTCTCTCGTATCTATCCTCAACTTTTTCTTACATTTCGATCTCATTAAATAAATCCTCGCTTTCAGCCTTGCTCATTTGATCTCTGTCCCCCCCCTCCCCCCTCCTCCACCCCCCTGCCTCTAACGTTTGTTTCATTAAAAAAAAATGTCATTTGGCATCGTGCCAATGTAAGCAGACGAAATATTTCTGTCACCGCCACAACGGCTTTATAAAGACGGGAGGAGGTATGATTGGGGGGGGGGGGGCATATGGGGACAACATTGTGGCTGAAAGTGGGGGGGGTGGGCATATGGGGACAACATTGTGGCTGAAAGTGGGGGGGGGGGGTGGGCATATGGGGACAACATTGTGGCTGAAAGTGGGGGGGGGTGGGCATATGGGGACAACATTGTGGCTGAAAGTGGGGGGGGGGGCATATGGGGACAACATTGTGGCTGAAAGTGGGGGGGGGGGGGTGGGCATATGGGGACAACATTGTGGCTGAAAGTGGGAGGTGGGCATATGGGGACAACATTGTGGCTGAAAGAGGGGGGGGGGCATATGGGGACAACATTGTGGCTGAAAGTGGGGGGGGTGGGCATATGGGGACAACATTGTGGCTGAAAGTGGGGGGGGGGGGGGTGGGCATATGGGGACAACATTGTGGCTGAAAGTGGGGGGGGTGGGCATATGGGGACAACATTGTGGCTGAAAGGGGGGGGGTGGGGTGGGCATATGGGGACAACATTGTGGCTGAAAGTGGGGGGGGGGGGGTGGGCATATGGGGACAACATTGTGGCTGAAAGTGGGGGGGGGACGGGCATATGGGGACAACATTGTGGCTGAAAGTGGGGGGGGGGCATATGGGGACAACATTGTGGCTGAAAGTGGGGGGGGGGTGGGCATATGGGGACAACATTGTGGCTGAAAGTGGGAGGTGGGCATATGGGGACAACATTGTGGCTGAAAGTGGGGGAGGGAGGGTGGGCATATGGGGACAACATTGTGGCTGAAAGTGGGGGGGGGGTGGGCATATGGGGACAACATTGTGGCTGAAAGTGGGGGAGGGAGGGTGGGCATATGGGGACAACATTGTGGCTGAAAGTGGGGGAGGGAGGGTGGGCATATGGGGACAACATTGTGGCTGAAAGTGGGAGGTGGGCATATGGGGACAACATTGTGGCTGAAAGTGGGGGAGGGAGGGTGGGCATATGGGGACAACATTGTGGCTGAAAGTGGGAGGTGGGCATATGGGGACAACATTGTGGCTGAAAGTGGGGGAGGGAGGGTGGGCATATTGGGACAACATTGTGGCTGAAAATGGGGGGTGGGCATATGGGGACAACATTGTGGCTGAAAGTGGGAGGTGGGCATATGGGGACAACATTGTGGCTGAAAGTGGGAGGTGGGCATATGGGGACAACATTGTGGCTGAAAGTGGGGGGGGGGGCATATGGGGACAACATTGTGGCTGAAAGTGGGAGGTGGGCATATGGGGACAACATTGTGGCTGAAAGTGGGGGAGGGAGGGTGGGCATATGGGGACAACATTGTGGCTGAAAGTGGGGGGTGGGCATATGGGGACAACATTGTGGCTGAAAGTGGGGGGGGGGGCATATGGGGACAACATTGTGGCTGAAAGTGGGAGGTGGGCATATGGGGACAACATTGTGGCTGAAAGTGGGGGAGGGAGGGTGGGCATATGGGGACAACATTGTGGCTGAAAGTGGGGGGTGGGGGGGTGGGCATATGGGGACAACATTGTGGCTGAAAGTGGGGGGTGGGCATATGGGGACAACATTGTGGCTGAAAGTGGGGGGGGGGTGGGCATATGGGGACAACATTGTGGCTGAAAGTGGGGGAGGGAGGGTGGGCATATGGGGACAACATTGTGGCTGAAAGTGGGGGAGGGAGGGTGGGCATATGGGGACAACATTGTGGCTGAAAGTGGGAGGTGGGCATATGGGGACAACATTGTGGCTGAAAGTGGGGGAGGGAGGGTGGGCATATGGGGACAACATTGTGGCTGAAAGTGGGAGGTGGGCATATGGGGACAACATTGTGGCTGAAAGTGGGGGAGGGAGGGTGGGCATATTGGGACAACATTGTGGCTGAAAATGGGGGGTGGGCATATGGGGACAACATTGTGGCTGAAAGTGGGAGGTGGGCATATGGGGACAACATTGTGGCTGAAAGTGGGAGGTGGGCATATGGGGACAACATTGTGGCTGAAAGTGGGGGGGGGCATATGGGGACAACATTGTGGCTGAAAGTGGGAGGTGGGCATATGGGGACAACATTGTGGCTGAAAGTGGGAGGTGGGCATATGGGGACAACATTGTGGCTGAAAGTGGGGGGTGGGCATATGGGGACAACATTGTGGCTGAAAGTGGGGGGGGCATATGGGGACAACATTGTGGCTGAAAGTGGGAGGTGGGCATATGGGGACAACATTGTGGCTGAAAGTGGGGGAGGGAGGGTGGGCATATGGGGACAACATTGTGGCTGAAAGTGGGGGGGTGGGGGGTGGGCATATGGGGACAACATTGTGGCTGAAAGTGGGGGGGTGGGCATATGGGGACAACATTGTGGCTGAAAGTGGGGGGGTGGGCATATGGGGACAACATTGTGGCTGAAAGTGGGAGGTGGGCATATGGGGACAACATTGTGGCTGAAAGTGGGGGGGTGGGCATATGGGGACAACATTGTGGCTGAAAGTGGGGGGGGGGGCATATGGGGACAACATTGTGGCTGAAAGTGGGAGGTGGGCATATGGGGACAACATTGTGGCTGAAAGTGGGGGGGGGGGCATATGGGGACAACATTGTGGCTGAAAGTGGGAGGTGGGCATATGGGGACAACATTGTGGCTGAAAGTGGGGGAGGGAGGGTGGGCATATGGGGACAACATTGTGGCTGAAAGTGGGAGGTGGGCATATGGGGACAACATTGTGGCTGAAAGTGGGGGGGGGTGGGCATATTGGGACAACATTGTGGCTGAAAGTGGGGGGGGGGGGCATATGGGGACAACATTGTGGCTGAAAGTGGGAGGTGGGCATATGGGGACAACATTGTGGCTGAAAGTGGGAGGTGGGCATGGGGACAACATTGTGGCTGAAAGTGGGGGGGGGGGGGCATATGGGGACAACATTGTGGCTGAAACTGGGAGGTGGGCATATGGGGACAACATTGTGGCTGAAAGTGGGGGAGGGAGGGTGGGCATATGGGGACAACATTGTGGCTGAAAGTGGGAGGTGGGCATATGGGGACAACATTGTGGCTGAAAGTGGGGGAGGGAGGGTGGGCATATGGGGACAACATTGTGGCTGAAAATGGGGGGTGGGCATATGGGGACAACATTGTGGCTGAAAGTGGGAGGTGGGCATATGGGGACAACATTGTGGCTGAAAGTGGGAGGTGGGCATATGGGGACAACATTGTGGCTGAAAGTGGGGGGGGCATATGGGGACAACATTGTGGCTGAAAGTGGGAGGTGGGCATATGGGGACAACATTGTGGCTGAAAGTGGGAGGTGGGCATATGGGGACAACATTGTGGCTGAAAGTGGGAGGTGGGCATATGGGGACAATATTGTGGCTGAAAGTGGGGGGGGTGGGTGGGCATATGGGGACAACATTGTGGCTGAAAGTGGGGGGGGGGGTGGGCATATGGGGACAACATTGTGGCTGAAAGTGGGAGGTGGGCATATGGGGACAACATTGTGGCTGAAAGTGGGAGGTGGGCATATGGGGACAACATTGTGGCTGAAAGTGGGGGGGGGTGGGCATATGGGGACAACATTGTGGCTGAAAGTGGGGGGGGGGCATATGGGGACAACATTGTGGCTGAAAGTGGGGGAGGGAGGGTGGGCATACAGTGGACAACATTGTGGCTGAAAGTGGGAGGTGGGCATATGGGGACAACATTGTGGCTGAAAGTGGGGGGGGGGGTGGGCATATGGGGACAACAGTTGTGTTTTAAATCCACCAAAGAATCATGGGAAAACATTTCGTATATCTCTCAACATTATTACACAACAGTTTACTCTCATCAAGTGCCTAATATAGAAACGTTAAGGAAAGCAAAACATTAAAGCCTTGTTGTGAACTTTTAGAAAAGTGGAGTTAGAACAGTCTGGTTCTAGGGAAGCTATATGTACTTGTATGTTATCTAAAATACATTGTAGACAGGAGTATTTAGCAGGTAATCCACACATATACATAAAAAGAGGCTGGGATTGTCTTAGACATGACAAGAAATTGACTGGCACCGTCTGTAAGTCGTCTCCATATGCCCCCCCCCCACCCCTTCAGTCAATGTTGTCCCATATGTCGTCCCGTCCCCCCCCCCCCTTAGCCACAATGTTGTCCCCATATGCCCACCCTCCCTCCCCCACTTTCAGCCACAATGTTGTCCCCAAAAAAATAATGTAGTTAGAGCAGTCTGGTTCTAGGACAGCGATATGTTGGTGGATGTTAGTTATCCGGGGTCGTATGGATTATTTTGTTTCTGTTGGTTTCTCTATTCACGCGCAAGAGTTAGGGCTTTATATAAGTTACTTATTTAGTGATACTACTAGGGAAAGTAATCTCACGAATATGATCTACTCGATTTCTTTAAGCCATTAATTAAATTGGTAGTTTATACGTTTTATTGATTCTTCTCTCATACTCGACTACTGACGGAACCTGTTATCTATAGCCACAAATTGTGACTGCTGTGGTCGAATGGTAGGGTGTTTGGCCGCAAGCCCGAACATCTCGAGTTCGGATCTCGGTTCGAATTTGTGACTGAGTCACGCAGCTCTAATGGGTACCTGACTTAAGCTGGGGAAGGTAAAGTCGGCGGGGCATAGTGCTGACCACACCGTCCCTTCATAAGCCGAGGTCAAGAAACATATGAACTCTACTTCATCTACCTCAGGGGTCTCCAAACTACGGCCCGCGGGCCTGATGCGGCCCGCGATGTCCTCTCAACCGGCCCGCGTAGATCTTTTTGTCCACGGAAAAACCGTGTGTTGGTGATGGCTGAGGAACTTTGCCCAGATAAATCAAAGACATGCCTAGAAGAAACTGGCCCCCGAACTGAAATTTGATAGTCAATGCGGCCCTCGGACTGAAAAGTTTGGAGACCCCTGATCTACCCAATGGATGTTTTCTAACACAACAAAATTAAACTTAAAATGGATCTTCGTGGTTGACTGTTTAAATTTTTTTACTGTATTGTTGCCCCTGAAGACAGGTTTCAAAAAGAGTAACCCAACCATAACCTTAAACCCGTATGGTTAGAATATCGTTTCGACGATACCAGATGTGCGAGTCATGATTGGGAGGGGGGGGGGTGACTAAGCTAAACCCACATCATTAAAATATCGTTATAACGATACCAGCTGTATCACCAAGAGTATCGTTTTTATAATGAAAGCTGAATGGGTTGTTTTTTTTTTAGTGTGGTAGTTTTTCTGGTCATTTTATTGTGTTGGTCATTTTGTAGTGTTGGTCATTTTATACGATGGTCTTTTTATAAAGATTGTACATTTTGTAAGTTATTTTTTAAAACTATTTTTAGCGCTGTTCGATTTGTAGTTTTGTTCATTTTTTTAAATGTTGGTTGTGTATAAGTAAAGTTTGCTTTCGAACACTACGGTTTATTGGCCAGGTGAAGCAGAGTTCACCTGTTTCCAAGGATGGCGTTGTCAGCACTATGTCCAGCCGCCTTTGCTTTCCCTAACGTGGGCCAGGTACTCATCAGAGCTGGGTGGACTCAGGGACGTCCTACGGTCTTGTGTTATATAGTTTTGATGATGTTATAGCCCTTGCCTTTGTGTACGTTATTGTCATACAAATAATAGTTGAAAATAAAACCCTGACGAAATTGATATATTTTTAGGGGTCGGCGTGGTCGAGTCGGTAAAGCTCAATGTTGCTAAACCGAAAAGTCTCGAGTTTGAACCCTCGGGCAGATGAGGCTCGTTAGCTGGGGACAGTCACTCTTCTAGGAGAGACAACTCCAAAATCAAACAACTGCTGCCTTGTAGTTTGTTCTTGGTTGGACAAAGGCTATGGAAGCAAATCCAAAAAGAAAAGCAGGCGGAAATCGGAGTCAATTGCCTCAATGGCGCATAACCAGTTGACACGTATACTTAATTATGTTGGAGGGGATCCCTTCCAATACTAAAAGTAAGAACTAAGAAGAAGAAAAAAGTTATCATTGTGTTGAGGTGTTCACACAATCACGCTTAACAATAAACAATTCAATACAATCATATGCTGGGAATATCGGAATACAATTTTCCCCGCTAATAATATCGACATCCAGTTCCGCCCCGCCTTTCTTTGACATTCCAAAACAACAACAAAAAGTTTGTAAAAGGTCACGTGAACGGGAGACTGGCGTGATATTTATGAGTAGTCTGGACGTATTCAAAAAGCCATCCGTTACTTCCGCCGTGTCGCTAACGCTTCCGCTCGACCGTGCCCTCCGGCGTGGTTGATGTTTACCTTTCACGCATGACGTCGCCATCTTGGTTGCTGTGTTTCTTTTCAGACATTTTTTATCCCAGTTGGGGGGGGGGGGGGTCGGACACTGGTAAAAGTATATATTTTCTGAATTAATTATATTTTCCGATTTCGTTCGAGGGGCGGGGGAGATTTTATGCCTGAAAGAAAATGCTCCCGTGGAAATTAGGTGTCCCGTCCCCCCTTGGAAGTTTCAAGTGCCCCCCACTCTCCCCAACCCCGGAGTAATTGTCTAAAGAAGACATTGATCGTTGGTCTCTTACATGACATGATGTCACATACATGATTTGTTTCAAACATTTTACTAGCGGGGAGAGCGGGGTGGTTTTTAAACTTCCGGGGAGGGGGATTAAAGTATAAATGTTCTATAAAAATTATATATATATATATATATATATATATATATATATATATATATATATATATATATATATATATATTCCATTTCTGGGGGCGTGCTGTCGGATAAGGAGGCGGTGCCCCTTCTCCTGAAGAGATGTTTAGAAATGTGATTATTTTTGGTGAAGATTGGACATTAGTGGCTTTTTTTTTGGGGGGGGGGGGGGGGGGGGGGGCTTTTAATATAGTTTAATATAGTTTTTTACGACGAAAGGGGTTGGGGGTGTAAAACTCTGCTTGACTTCATAAATGTACACACGCTAAAGGCAGTTTTTTTTTTTGCAAATTATTTATCAGAGTGAGGGTTGACTCATAAAATGTTATTTTGGTGCGTGTGTGTGGGGGGGGGGGGGGGAGACCTTAGCTTAAGTATACATTTTTATATTTCTATTGCGTCCAAGTGGGGTGGCGATGGATGTGTTCTCGGGGTGTGGATACCCCCCACCCTTTATGTAAATATATTAACAAGAGACCCTTTATATAAAATCAACCATATGAAGAGTAAAATGTCCATTAGTCCTATAAAAAAAATGTCCACGTAAGGCCCTTTAAATGTCCAAATGAAGCTCTTTATGTAAAATTGTCCATTTGAGGTTCTTTATGTAAAACTGACCGTCAGGGCCTGTTATATGACCATTTATTGGACCCTTTATATATATATATATATATATATATATATATATATATATATATATATATATATATATATATATATATATATATATATATATATATATATATATATATATCCGTCTCTCTGGTAGGCCTACCTCTGAATACTCGTATATCTGTACCGTCCTTCGTTTTCTCATTACTGAAGTGTTATCGGTGCAATTAATCCCTTGCCGGTTCTAATTAACCATTTTCCCGCTTTCAAATAAATAGACCTCCCCCCCCCCCTCTTTGAAGCCTATCATATTTCTCCACAACACTGAAATAACAGCATGGGTGTTTCAAAATTGTCATCTCCTATGCACAGTTGTAGGGTTTCGTAATTTATAGACCGCAATGAAACTGTAAGGGGAAAGCACTCTCGCATCAGCCCACTCGTGTGCTACTTTATCTGAACAGAGATCTCATAGGACTCTTGAATAATTTACACGGAGTCCTCAAGGCAAGTACGTTACGACTTACTGGCCCTGATTTATCTCGCTTTAGATGTACTGGTTGTACCTGCTCAATCTGGGTAGATCGTACCTCTCCTCTTTGGCTTTTTTTTTTAAGTCTACGTGCTCAATCTGGGCAAATCGAGTCTTAACTTTCAAGCATTAATGGTCTAAGTACTAAATGTAAAGGATCATCGTCCTAAATTTTGTGTTAATTTATGTATAATAGTTTCTTTTAGCCTAAATCAAGGTAATTTATTTTAAACAAATAAACCTAAAGCATAAAAATTAAGTACGTACTATAAAATTCTTAAATAAAGTCTAGATATGACTGTTCAAAAGATAATTATTATTTTATTGGGGCCTACAACAAACATCATACCATAGAATTTGAATAACAGTATCTGAAATTTAAATAACTACAATGTAAACCAAGTCCTACAGATTCAATGATTCTAAGTTATTTTTCATTGATATGAACGACTCTAATTAAATTGCAAGTTTACGGTTTTATTTCGGTGTTTAGCGTGTACAGTAAGGGGGGTAACAAGGAAAAATCAACATTGTATATTTTCATTGTTACTTCCCTTACACTACATGCACACATTTTTTTAAAGAAATCTTTTTCAGTCATCTTTTGATATAATTATTTTCTGATCTTAATTATTAAGTGACAAGACTATAATTTGCATAACTAAAAGCTTCATTTTTTTTTATTAAATAAAAATAAAAAAACTTCACAAATGAATTCCTTCTATATAAACATTCTAACAAATGAAATCTTTTCTTTTTTTAGGTCCAGCAGCTGACCAAAAGGTACAAGCGAGCACCGGTCAGCATGGAGCCCCTGTCTGCCGTAGTGCTGGACGTGTCCTACACCAAAGTACCTAAACTGACCCTCTCCATGGTCCAGATGCTGCTGCTCAACGCCGTGGTCTGCGGTGTGGAGATTGTGGCCTGCGCTGGCTTCACGTACATCCCTCCTATGCTTCTCAAAGCTGGGTACTCCGAAGAAAACATGGGATTCCTCCTCGGGATGGGCCCGCTGTTGGGGTTCATTTTCGTCCCAGTGATCGGCCGAGCTAGCGACAGGTGTTATAGTCAGTTTGGCCGAAGACGGCCATTTATCCTCGGGTTGGCCGTCATGCTAGTTTTCTCATTATACCTCATCCCTTTTGGCGAATACTTCGCCTCCTTGTTGGTGGGGGTGAACGCGTTTAGTAAAAAAATTGGCCTGATCGGATTGACTTGTGGGGTGGTTCTGTTAGACTTCACCACCCAGGCCTCGCTCATGCCTTGCGAAGCCCTGCTCAACGACGCCTCCAAAGACTCGGACCAGAATGAAAAAATTTTTACAATCTACTCTCTGATGATCAGCTCGGGAGGGGTCATCGGATACCTCTTGACCGCCATCGACTGGACTTCCACCCCTATTGGGGATTATTTCGGCGGCCAAGAAGCAACGATATTTTCAATCCTTATCATTGTTTTCACATCCATGTTATCCGCAACGCTTATGGTTGCTAAGGAAGTACCGTTATCAAATCCACATGCCTCATCTGACATCTCCAGCGTCTCCATCTCACCCGCATCCATCGCACCTAAACAACAAATTGCTCATGAAAGTGGATACGAGTCCAGTAGCAATTCTTCCGAGGATGGACTTCTCTATCCTGACCAGGGCAGCAGGACTAGATCCCTCACAGACAACAAAAAAGGGAGAACTTTACGCTATTTAAAAAGATATGTCGCGAAGATGAGCTCATACTTGCCACAGAGGGGCAGGTTCTGTAACAATATTTTGAGCTGCTTGTCGTGGCTGGGTAAACAGCTGTTGCCACGGCAACTGGTGCAGCTCTTCAAGGTTCCTGTTGTCCTGAGGCTGTTGGTGCTAGCTGACTACTGCGCTTGGACAGCCATTATGGGGTTTAACATATACTTCACTGACTACGTTGGGCAGGTAGGGAGACATTTTTTTTTTCACTGAATTTTTTTAACATATTCTTCACTGAGGCAGGTCTGGATAATAATTTTTTTTTACATATTTTCACCACTGACTGCTTTAGGTGGGAAGAATTTTTTTTTAAACATGTACTTGACTGAAAAAAGTATTTTAACATATACTTCACAGACTATCTAAGAAGGGATTTTTTAAACATATATTTCACTAACTATATTGAACAGTTAGGAATTTTTTAAACATGTACTTCACAGAATTAGTTGGGCAGGTAGAAAGAAATTTTTTAATGCTCTATAATAGATGTGGCAATGGAATAAAATTTTATTTAAACTTATGTGTTCCATAGTATTACATGGGTACATGACTTGACTTAAATCATTACCACACCATAAATGAATGCAGGCGTAGCGTCATTTTATGGCAAGCTTGTCTCAATATGTCACCAATGACTCTTATGTCTCTTATGTATATAATATTGGAATTCTCCTCACTTAAAAATTTATAAACCTTTCAAATCTCAATGCTCTTGAGTTCAAACCCTCAGGCAGATGATAGCTGGGGACAGCAACTCTTCTAGGAGAGACAACTCTAAAATCAAACAACTGCTGCCTTGTAGTTTGTTCTTGGTTAGACAAAGGCTATGGAAGCAAGCCCAAAAAGAAAAGCAGGCTGAAATAGGCGTCAACGGCCTATATACCACATAACGAGTTGACACATATACTTAATTGTGTTGGAGGGAATCCCTTCCAACTTAAGACTGATGAATAAGGAAGAAATATGATTGTAAAAAATTTTGGTTAAACTAAAATTAAGACAGAAGAATAAAGAAGAAATCTGATTGTAAAAATGTTAGTTAAATGCACCAGGATATTACTATATGAGAAAAATAGAACAAGCCAGGTTCTAATGTGTTCCAAAACAATTAGATAAAAATCATGAATTTGAAAACAATGTAAACAATTAATTTTTTATCATCTATAACAGATTGTGTACGGAGGGAACCCTAACGCACCTCCCCTGAGCCCAGAGAGCCGCGCCTACGACGAGGGCGTGCGAGTGGCCAGCTGGGGTCTGCTCCTCCACTGCATCTGCTCTGCTATCTTCTCCGTGTTCTTCATCGAGCGCCTGACCGTGTCCTACGGCTACAAGACGACCTTCACCCTGGGTATGGTGACCTTTGTCTTCTCCATGATGGGGATGGTCCTGATCCGGCACATCTACTTTGTCAACCTGATGGCGGCGACCACTGGATTTGGCTACTCCACCATCACTACCATCCCATTTATGCTGGTCTCCAAGTATCATGCTGATAAAAAGGTAACCCAAAAAAAATTTAATTCCAGGGAGAACACTCTGATTTTCTTTTTTATTCAATAGAAGTAAGGCATGCTAAAATACAATTAAAAACTATATATTTTTTATTAACACAGTTATATCTTTCCTCTAAAGTTGGAAATTTCAGTTTTAAGTAGCACTACGTTTATTCAAAAACAGCCAAAAAATTTGGTTCTATGAAGTTCAATATCATGTGCATAAATCTAATGAAGAAATTGTCCAGATAATTATAATAAATATAGATGTCTTTTCAAAACTTTTTTAGTGGGCAGGTATTTATTTTAATTTGGTTTTTTTTAACAGCTAACTTGTAGAACATCACCTTTAATTTTCTACTGTTTTATTTTAATTTAATTTTTCGTTAATGTTCATGCCTATTATTCGCTAATTATTCCTAATATTAATTAAACATTTTTTCATTAACATGCGTTTGTATGTCAGATTTTCTGAGATTTATTTTAAACATCCCTATTTCATTGTCTATTTTACACTTTATCTTTAATCCATTTCTCTATCTCTTAGATCTATTTTGCTGACATTTTTTTCATTAACATGAGTTTGTATGTCAGATTTTCTGAGATTTATTTTAAACATCCCTATTCCATTGTCTATTTTACACTTTATCTATAATCCATTTCTCTATCTCTCTTAGATCTATTTTGCTGACCTACCGCCTGCTCTACTTTCCGACACCGAGCGAGGCATCGGCGCCGACATTGCCGTCCTGGACTGGTCATACTTCCTGTCACAAGTTGTCATGACGGCCGCCATGGGCACCATAGTCCACATCACAGGCACGCTGGTGTCGTACATGGTCACTGCCGGAACTATGGGGGTCCTGTCTATCTACTACATTGGGAGGATTGTCGAGAACGAGGCGCAGGCGCGGCGCTGTATAGCGAGTCAAGGGAATGCACGTGTTAGGGATTCATAATGGCTGGTCAAGGGACTGGGGGTATAAGTTTCTAGTTATCAGATTCATTGGTTCATGTGATTCACAGGATCGTGTAATTCAGCCGATGATCCACTGGATCATGTGATACAATGAATAATGTGATTCATTGGATTATGATCCACCGGATCATGTGATACAGCAAATCATATCATTTATTGGATCATGTGATTCATTTGATCATGTTATCCATCAAATCATGTGATTCAAACTGTCATTTGCATACAGCCACGAGTGGTTATGCAGTTGTTACTGTTGGATATATAAATATAGTTGTTGAGATATATTTGTGATTTGTTTGTTGATATCTCCCCCATCTACTGTTACAACAAAGGGACACAAGTGATTTGTAAAAATGAAAATGAGAGTTCCTTGCCCATGTCTTTATTATTGAAAGAAAGGCCTGGTTCAATTTTGTATGCGCTGATAGAATATTTAATATCACTGCTAAATACTTTTTGATTAATGTTGTCTTTCTTTAAAAAAAAAAAACTCAAACTAACCTAGTTTTTAACAATATGGAGAAAGTTTAAAAAACATTGGGGGAAAAATTTAAATAATATTTCGTAATTTTTAAAATTAACGATGTCTACCAAATTTAATAAAAATATTTTTTTAAAAGATACAACTTCCAAACCATCTTTTTAAAAAAAAAAACACATCTCCCTGTTAGCTCTCTAATAAAAGAGATAATTAAAACTGTTTCACAACTGGGATTTTGTTTCCCTGTACATAAAAGAGGGTCTGATATATATGTATATATATAAGTGTATCTAGAGCATTATCTATTTATATATACGAGCAGTGATTGTTGTTTGATCATCATCTATTTATCAACAAGATCTCTTCAAAATATTAAATATTATTTTTGTGTTGTGGTTAAAAAAATGTAGAGAAAAACACTATGAATTTTGTTCTATTCCCCAGCTTTATAAGCTGTTGTGAAATGTTGTAGTCTTGTACCATATGCCAGCGACATGAAATTTTACACGTTATTTCTGCTGAAATATTTAAGTTGCATAGCCAAAGTGAAAAGTTTTATTTCCTCTGGACACTTGTGGACTTGATATTAAATCATATGTTATGGTTACATTTTCTCCATTATTTTCTAAGCAATGTTTTATTGTACTTGATGGAAAAAGATGCATTTATTCAAAGAATATAATGTTAATCCTGGTACAACAAGCTATTAACCACTTCATTATAAATAGGCTGGTTTTGCTCTCAAGATTCCAGAATTTAATCCAGTTCTGTCTGTTTGGATAACTTGAGTCCACTCAGCTTTATTTAGTACCTGGTATTTATGTCAAAGGGCTCTTTAATATAATTTTTTTTTAAATTTCATTTTGTATACTATTGTAACAAAGACATAAACTTTCTTATTTTGTAACAAAGTTTTTTCATATTTTTGTTATAACGAAAGATGAATTCAGTTTTATTTTTTTATACAGTTATATAGTTAGGTAAATTAGTTATAAGTATTATTTTATTCGTTGAGGTAGTCTTTCATTTGTGCTGTCAAAAGTAGTGAAATAAAAAAAATTAGGGTTTTTAAATAGATATTTTATAACTTTTGTTTTTACGTTTATTCTGGTTGTTTTGTTTGTTGTTTTGTTTTAAATAAAAAACAAAGTGCCCAAAGTTTAATCTACTGCACCTTCCTCTAGAATTGTCCATATACAAGTTTTTGCATTCATTTGAATTGGTTTTAAACAAATTGTTTTAAAACAAATGATTTTGGATGAAAGATTTCTACAATGTATTTAAAAGGTCAAAAGTTCTACTAATGGGTTATACAAATTCTTGTTTTGGGCATTTTACTGAATTCTTAAATTTAAATTTCTCACAATCTCTTAAAGCTTTTTTAAAATCTGTTTTATAAATTTACAGAATTATTTTATTTTTTAAATGAACTCATAGCCTCCCTTGCTTAAAGTTATTTTTACCATAGTGTGCTTACTTACAATTTTCTTCTATAAATATTTTATCTTCAGCCTTCATCCTGTGTTCTTCTATGTTTTATTAAATACATATAGAAAAATATATTTACACCATACAAAACTGTAAATGCTTGCTACATGAGGTTTTTATTATTCTGTTTCTACTTGAGTATTAAATTATTATTTCAATGTCAATATTTTCAATATTTACATATGGGATATACAAAGGCAAATACTGGGGTGTATTATATATATATATACACAATAACACACATACATACTGCGTTTTACTTTTCTTTTGTTTGGGTATAGTGAACATCAAGAGGGAGTACATGGCCTGTAGTTTGAGATTTATTTGTGGTGTTATTAAAATAAATGTGGGATTGGATTAAAAAGCAGCCATTTATTTTGTGTGTGCATTCCTCTACACTTGCAATATCTGGAGCTGGGCTTATTTCATGTTCATTTTTTTTTTCCTGCTCATGCTTTTGTTTAATATTTAATACTTATGCACTAAACTGAACAGTATTTTTAGTAAAGAAGTCCAAAATCCTTTCATGTTTTTAAGAAATAAAATGTTTACATTTTTTAATAGCTATGTGGCTCATTTTGCTGATGGTTTTTATATTTTGCTTCTATTTTTATTATTATGGGTTTATTTTATTTTTTATAGCTAAAAAGATATTTAAAATATATATATATATATATAAAATAATATTACTTTATAATCCTTGTTTGCAATAAAACCATTCCTTACCAATGTCTAATTTGATAGGATTTTTTAATTCAATTTTTGTGTTAGTCTATAGAGGCTTGATGAAAAATTGTTTTGGACTTGTATTTCAACGTTCTGTGTTCAGTCTGAAAATAAACTACATTCATTTAATTAAGAAAAGCTTTTGATACATTTTAGTAATACTTTGGTTGAACTTATTATAAAATCTTAAACTTCATATAAAATGTATGGCGCAGCATTAAGAGTAACTTTTTTAAAAGACTAAAAATAGTTTTATAACTACAAAAAATGTGTTAATTTTCATGCAGTTTTCTTGTTACCACCAAGATAAGGGGAGGTAGTGAGATGTTACTTGGTATTAAACCTTAAGTACTTTTACACCCATCTCTTTCAAATCCAATATTCTTTTGCATAAAATGTTTTAAATATTTAAAATAAAAATAGAGTCCTAATTCTTAAAGTCAAATTGTCTGTGTTTTTATGGTGATCAAGCAATACAACTACAAATTTTACTTTGAATTTCACCCTGTGTTATAATTGTTTTCCAACTTTTATTTCAGTTGTTCATCTTTGGTTTTTACCATGGTAAATGTGTATGAAAAAATAGAGGTTCTTTTTTTTGTTATTTGACATAAAACATGTGCAAGATGCTGACTCAGGGATTGTTCATCAATTTTAACGAATGAATCTGGTAATTATTTCTAATCAAAGATAAAATTGATGTGAAAACAATCTGCTAACACCATAAATGCATACTGATAATTCCACATGTCATGTTTATGCATACTTTATAGACAAAGCTTTTTATAATCCATTGGTAAAGAAATGGTTGCCCATAATCTGAGTAAAAAGAAAGCTGCAGTCTTCTCAATTGGTTATATATTTTCTTAATGAGAAACTAAACACTTTTCTTAATAATGAATGTATTTCAAAACTTTTTTATAGAAGCTTTTAATACTATAGGCATTTGATAATCCTAATGTGTTTGTTTCCAATTATGAAATTGCTGGAAAAAGCCTTTGAACACGATCAAAGACTCATATCATTGTATTAAATTTATAAATGAATCTCCTAAAATAATTCTTATTTTGATATAAAAAAAAAAATTTAAAAGTCAACACATAAAAGTATAAATATAGTGGGAATATATTTTAATTTTTTTTTTTACTAGTAGAACATTTTATTTTTTTAAATTTTATTTATGCACACAAAATATTGTATTTGCTATTTAATTTTACTTGTCATTTTATATTTCAAAACTCCTGTCACTAAAATTATCTTAGAGTATAATTAATATTGGAGACTATAATGAAGAATTTAAAATGTCCCTATATATATATATCAAGGAAAGAAGTTAAAAAGGAAATAATTTTTAAAAAGCCAACAATTTTCAACCAATTTTTGGAAAGTAAATTTTTAGAAAAAGCTTATTTTAGAATTTTAATCAATATTAATGTGTAGTCAACTAATGCATAATTTTTGTCCATTCAGTATATGTTTGAGATTAGTCGTCATGTTCTCCTTTCATCATTTGACTTTTTAACCAAAATTCTGTCTTCCTAAAGTTACAATCACATTTACAAACAAAATATTCTAGCTGGTTTTATAAAGCAGAATAATAAATATATATTGTAATCGTGAAATTTTAGAATGGTTTATATACACTTATTTCAATTTGGGTACTTTTGGTGCTGTCCTAATAGCTATTTAAATCATTTTGTCATTAAAATATAATATAATGTCCTTTTTTTTTTGTCCATTAAACTGAATAACATGTAAAAATTTGATCCTCTTGATATTTTAATGATGTACGAAGTCGTCACAATTTCCAAGCTATGTGTGTTCATTGTTATGTTGTGCTTCCTCGTTATATTTCAAACTGTATGAAATTTACGACACTGGGTAATTTAAAGGGACATGACTGGTGGTTTAAGTGTAAATTGTATGACTATCATACGTTGTATATTTTATTTGGGGCTATTTCCTTCAACAGCTTTCTTGTTGAAATATTAAATGTGTTGTTATTCATCATATTTTGAAATTATTTTTATTTTGCTATTATTTTTATTTTTTAAGTATTTAAAAGTTACTACCAAATTTGTTCTACACAAATTTAAAAACAAAATGTTGCAAATGTTTAAAAGAAAATTGACCAGTGTTTGGTATTCAGAATTTTCATTTAGAAAATATAAATAATGACTGAATAAATATCCGATTAATAGATCTATGTGTTGTGGTTTTGTAATCCTCGTATGGTGTCAATGTCATGACAATCTAATTTAATTTTGTTGAGTCTGCTGTTTTGACATTTTGAATTCAATGAAAAATAAAGAGATTTTATTTCAGTTTATTGTATTTTTATATTCCAATCTTAATTAAATGTAAGGTTCTTCGCATTGGTGACAGAACACTAGTGAAGACTTATTTTTATCATTTTTAACTGTCTTAAAGATGTTCATTGGCGTTATCAACCCAGCTATGATGGGTACCTGGTTCTAGTTGGGGAAACTAAAGGCTGACCACACTATCTCTTCGAGTACTGCGTGGTCTAGCGGTAGAGTGCTAGACTGCTAACCCTAAAGTCTCGAGTTCAAATCCGGGTTCAGGTCAACAGAATGTCTCTGAGTCCACCCAACTCTGATGGATACCAAACTCACATTCCGTTAGGGAAAGTAAAAGCGGCTGGGCATAATGCTGACCATACAATCGCTTATACAGCCAAGGTCACAGAAATAGATACTCTACTTCACTTGCACCATGGAATGTCGAATTTGAAAACGGAACTTTACACTATCACCTCATGTATGAATAATGAATGCTGTGGTCAGTATAATATGGTGAGGGGTGGAAGCTGGTCAGTATAGTATAATGAATGCTGTGGTCAGTATAGTATAATGAATGCTGTGGTCAGTATAGTATAATGAATGCTGTGGTCAGTATAGTATAATGAATGCTGTGGTCAGTATAGTATAATGAATGCTGTGGTCAGTATAGTATAATGAATGCTGTGGTCAGTATAGTATAATGAATGCTGTGGTCAGTATAGTATAATGAATGCTGTGGTCAGTATAGTATAATGAATGCTGTGGTCAGTATAATATAATGAATGCTGTGGTCAGTATAATATAATGAATGCTGTGGTCAGTATAATATAATGAATGCTGTGGTCAGTATAATATAATGAATGCTGTGGTCAGTATAGTATAATGAATGCTGTGGTCAGTATAATATAATGAATGCTGTGGTCAGTATAATATAATGAATGCTGTGGTCAGTATAATATAATGAATGCTGTGGTCAGTATAATATAATGAATGCTGTGGTCAGTATAATATAATGAATGCTGTGGTCAGTATAATATAATGAATGCTGTGGTCAGTATAATATAATGAATGCTGTGGTCAGTATAATATAATGAATGCTGTGGTCAGATAAACAGATGCTCTACTTCACCTGCTTCATGGGCCTCTGGTTTGAACAAATATTTTACTCACTAAATGCGCTGTGAATGACATTACAAAGCTTTAGCTCTGCATGTAAAGCTAAGCTAGCTCCTGAATTTTCAAAATATTTTCTTTCTTCTTGACTTATCCTAAGTTGAGTTAAGTACTCATCAGAGCTCAATAGACTCATGGACATTCTAATGACTTGAACCTTGATTTGAATGCAAGACTCTATTGGGTTTATTATACTATTTTTAGAAAATGTTTTAACGACTATGAAATTATCATTTTTTTAACTTTATATCTGCTTGCCTTCAACAAGTTCCTGTTCTCAAACTATTGTATTAACTAGCCAGATTTTAAAAAATGCAAACTTAATAACCAGCCAACAACACACTTGCAACACAAACCTCCATAACCAATCAAAATAATTAAAACAATTTTAATAACCTTTCAATAAAATCATTTGACATACAGCATGCATTAAAAAATCACAACAACATACCAACCACATTGGGCTGTACATTGTCAAAGTAAATTACATTCATGGTAACCTACCACAACAGACTAGCTACGTACATGTGAAGTATTTGCTGAACAAAGACCTCAAATCTAATTCAATGATCAATTCTGTACCACAATACAAATATACATCAAAATCTGAATGACTGAATTTCTCAATCAATGTGTGAAAGACTTGTACAAAATATTAGAATGTAATTTTGAATTAATCTATGCAATGTGTGTGTCTTTTAAGGGGGGTTAACTGTACAGTACTACTTACAAAATGCACAACCTTAAGCTAGATAAATCATCAAGTTAGAAAATAAACTTTTGTATCTAGATTTATCATAGTTACCGGTACATTGAAAACAAGTTTAGAACAACAAAATAAAAGAAGTAACAATAGTCAGATAATACAAGACTAGTGTTACGTTATTATTGGTGAAACATACGTTACATTACTGGGCAACTTGTTAATTTTATATTTACACAAGTAACATGTTAGTTAATCTTTAAACAATATCTGTTACTTTTTTTATTTGCACAAATAAAAATGTATTCAATCTTTAAGTCCAAGAGGTACATTTCTTAACATTTACAAAAGTACAATATTCAATTTAAACGAGAAAGTAAATACACATGTGAGTTAAAAAAAAAACAGATCAAGTAGAGTTCATCTGTTTCTGTGGCAGGTGAAGGGATAATATGCTAGTACAGTGACCAGCAGTTTAAAATGTCTCTCAGTTTACAAATAAAATACAAGAGCACTGAGTGGAGTAGAGACTCCAAACCAGCACTGACTTATTACAGCACTACTAGCTAGTCTTTGCCCTATGTTCAAATAATTACATGAATAATATGAAACTTAATGATAATGGATATGACCAAAGAAATCTTTTACAAAAAAAAAAATATATTGTAAAATTTCTTTTTTTTTTTAAATACAATTATTTGAAAATGATAAAACATTATGACTTTTGAGTTAGAAATAGAAGCAGGACGTTTTTAAAACATTCAGATATATACAAAGACTACTACGACAGAAGGTTTAGCTAGTAGCACTGACTTGAGATTTAGGCGAGAAAAATAAAACATTTAGAAAGAATTAGGTGCTAGTATATTCAAATCTTTCTTAGTGACATCCAGCTTCTCTCCGTCTGTGGCTTTGCTCAACCAGGCTCCGAACCTGCGAGTGTGGGTGAGGAGACTGAACCCTGAACCGGTTTTCTTGTGTATATTGTCAGCCATGTCTGAGGTGGTGTACAGTGGGGCTGACGGGTTGCCAGCCGAGGTGTCGGCCACCTTCATCTCACTGTCTGTGTGTTGGGTTATGGACATGGTCTGGGCTTGCTGTCTGCCGAGGTAGCTGGTCAGGATACCAGTGTGGTGGTCGGGATCTACGCTGGACTCTGAGTTACTCAGACAAAAACTTTTGCTCTGGCTCAGGGTTTGGACTGACCCCAGCCCAATGAGATTAGGAGTTGACTGGCGTCTGGACAGACCACGTTGTGAAAACCCGGTGTCGCTTGTTTCCGATTGGTTGTTGGATGCGGCGGCGAGTGAATCGTCTTTGCTGTAGGTAACGAAATTACTGTAAAAGTTGCGGCCGGCGTTGTGATTGGTCAGTAAAAGTTTGGAGGAGGTGCAGACGGTGTTGTTGAACTTGTGCAGGACCTCGGTGTCAAAGGTGTCTTCCACTGGGTCACCCTGGGGGTTGGAGTAGCGGCGGGCGTAGGCGTGGTGCTTGTCATGTGACTGCTGGTGTTGCTCTGGGGCTGGCTTGGCTTGCTGTGCCAGGGACTGAAGAACTAATCTGGAGTTGTCTGACAAATTCAAGCGCATCTTACGAGCTGATGATGAGAAAAAACATTGAGTTAGGAATTTTTTTAATTGGAGAATAATAACAATAGGTTACCTTGCTAGCAGGATAATGTAAAGAGAGGAAAAACATTTTTAATGGATTACAAAATCAAACTTAATTCTTACTATTAAAATTAACATTTAATAAAGTTTATGAAACATTTTAAAAGTATTTTGCAATCACTGTAATAAATACACAATTTTTTAATAAGCAAGAGCTACATTAAGTAGCATTTACTTAAATTTTTTTAAATTTCAACAACACAATTGTATAAAGGTGCAGAAAACCCATACACAAATACAACATGTAAAATAGGAAAAATATAATAAAGTCTGCTAAAAGTGTGGGAGAAACGGATTTAAAATGTGAAAAAAAAATTTCACCATATGGCACATATAACAATATGATGGTAAGCTACTGTAAAGATGTGCTGGTTAATCCATATTATTTATTTATAAGAAACAGCTGGGGTGGGCTAGAACTAATGTGGATGATGCAAGCTACAGTCAACAGTCAACACAACAAGCTGGTTATCTAACTCTACAGAGGATGTTGACCTACTTAGGTGCTCATTTGAATTGTGTTTTTCTAATTTTATATTCCACTATAAACATTTAATGCTACGGATACTTTTTGGAATAGTTATTTGTCTAGGGGATTAGTTGGTCTTAACATTTGTTTAATAAATGTCTGTATAATTGATAAGACCTAGGGCCTATTTTATTGGTATGAAAGCAAAAACAAGTAGATCTAGCAGGCTTAGTAACTAATATATCATATATTATATGACATCATAACAAAACTAGCTGTGGATTATAAACTAATATTTATAAAACAATTTAAATAAACGAATGATGAGTACCAAGAGGACATATATTAATATTCGTCAAAACAGGCTATCATAAAGCACCATGTCTAATACAACTCTTGACCATCACTTGATCTAGATTAGATCTAGTACTAGATCTAGTAGTACTAATTTTTTTTTTAAACACAAGATCTCGCTGTTCTTATGAGAGAAAAAAAATAAAAGTTGTCTTTAAAAAATCAAACCTTATAAATCGTCTTCCAGACAAACGTCTTGGACTATGTTTAGTCTAGGACTGAGCCCAGTGTGTCTTAACAAAAAAAAGGTCCGCCACTACCAGAGTCAAGGGTCAAGACACTACCGCCACACATTCATTGCATCATCACGTGAGTGGACCGTGGGAAGGGCGTGGTCCTGTGGCTGCTTTGGTCACTTTTTAACCAATCAGAACGCCGGTGCTATAAATATCTTATTCCTAACAACAGAGCACCATGGCCGAGCTATGCATCAGTGAAAATCGCCTGTTATGCAAAGAAAGGTCCAAGCAACCCCGGGGTGAGGGTTTTTTTTTTTTTTAACGCTGGCGTGGACGGAAGTTTAATGAGACCCCGAGGGTGGCAGATGGACAGCATGAGGGTGAGACGCGAATAATGGGAACACTAACAAAGTGACCCCAGGCAAATGTGGGTCACTCGTGGATAAGAACAATGTACCCGGGTCACGCGGCAAATCACTGAGAGAATGTAGCCTACACTTGTTGGGGCGACTTATCTCTGTGATGTTTAGGGCCGACAACTGCTGCTTTGTTCAAAGGTAACCCACTTCAATATTACAATTAAATTCAATATTACAATTAAAAACGAAGAAGACTTTCAAAGATAAAAAAATATCAAAGGATAAAGACTGATTTGTCAGCAGATTTTATTTCAGGTATCTCTTCCAGGGGGGTGGGAGACAATCCCCAAATAGAATGTTACAAAATAATTACTAATCCAGCGTCCGTCCCTCCCCCGGAAATTTTAGATCAACAAGAAAAATGTCTGAAAGAAACACTGTTTGTAAGGATACCACGAAATTAAGGTATGAAGATAAATTTAAGGATAAGCCCAATTTAAAGTCAGTCGCAGTTTTAGGGCAGGAGAAAAAAATTGTGCATGAACTGAGATTAACCGAAATGTAGGAGAGAGAAGAATGGGGGGACGAAAAGCAAATTCAAGGATAACTCTACCCAAGTTCAAGGACAGAACAATTAAGGGACAGGCGTGATTCGCCTCGTGAGGTATGGGAGAGGGGGTGTACATTAGTGGTAGGACTGTCGAATACCACCGAGCCCCCGGGTCAAATACCGTTTGATCCCCCACTAGTCCATAATTACACCCAGCCTTGATGCTATCAGACAGGGAGGTAAGCCGGTTGGGCTCTCGTGACATTACCGTCCCTTCCCTGTATCCAATTTATTTTTTCAACTAGGGTTGGGGTGGGCTGAAACGTTAAAAAATACTAGAAGCAAAACGTGTAGGGGTGGAGGGTAACGTCAAGATATAGATCTACATTATAAATATGACTATAGTGTTTACTATGTTTTAGCCAGGAGACGAGGAATACACAATTTAACATCAATTCATTTAACAACAATTCATTTAACAGAGAGTTCAAAATATTTCACCGTATGTATAAAATACAAGTAATTCACCTTTACTTATTTTTTTTTAAAATGTTCTTCATCAATTAAATTAGTGTTTGAAAAGATACAACATTTCAGTGTTACTATAATGTATGGAAGGGCAGTGTAGTGGCCACTGTGGCCTGTTAAATTGCCTGATACGGAAATCCAAATTGGACTGGTAGCTACGTTCATTACTAGACCTAGATCTCACTGATTAGGCCCCCGTAATCACTTCATTTTCCATGGTATATTAAAGATCTATCAAGTAACAGAAAGTATCACAATTCCTGAGCAGTGCTGTACGTCTAACCAAATAGCACATTTTATTTAAATAACAGAGCTGACCAGTAAAAAAATAATCAAGTAAATATTTTAAAAACCTACCTATAACTATGGAAGCGAGTAGAGAAGACTGAATGGCTGAGTTGAAATTTTCTTGATGCGACAACAACGGCATTTTAAATATTTTCATTTGCCAGCATTACCACTGATCTGCACTAAGTTCCAAGTGTTAACAGTGTTAAAAAATATTAAATTCCCTCAACAGTTGCACAAAAACCCGGTCGAATGAACAGTCAGCTGGGCTGTGTGCTGGTTTTATCACTTCACCTCTCACTTGAGTGTGACCGAAATTAAAAATAATAGCGGTGTCTCCCACCTCGTGATACGGCGCAACCAATAGATTGTTAGATAAATTAGTCACTTTTTTCTTATTGGCTGAGGGGATTGGTGTGACGTCAATCGGTGTCCCGGATACGGTACACGGAGTTTCCCGGTAGAGGTGTAGAAAAACAACAAATTTAGGCTGAAGGCAGAATTGTAGTTACATAACAGCTTTAGCAAAACAAGAAATTTAGGCTAAAGGCAGAATTGTGGTTACATTACAACTTTAGCAAAACAAGAAATTTAGGCTAAGGCAAAATTGTAGTTACATAACTTAATCGCTCTGAAGCTGACAACAACAAAGTTCTACGAATGAGAACATTTTGGACTGTTGTGTGAAAGGGTCGGTGTTTGAAAAGGATTAACCTATATGACAAAAAAAAAAAAACAATTTTATTCGGTCGTTATTGATTAGCCGAACCCAGGTATTTGTACCATCATCCATTCCCGTTCGTGCCCAAGACACATGAGGCAGATGAAGTAGAGTTCGTCTGTTTCAGAGACCTCGGCATATGAAGGAATAGTGTGGTCAGCACTATGCCCAGCCGTCTTTGTTTCCCTAACGTAAGTTAGGTACCCATCAGAGCTGAGTGGACTCGGGACGTTCCACTGATTTGAACCCGGGTTCGAACTCTCGGGTTAGCAGTCTAGCTCTCTACCGCTAAACCACCGGCTGATACCCGGATAGAAAGATGCTATGACTATGACCGACTGATACCCGGATGTTTATAAAAATAAAATAAAAAAAAAAGAAATTAAAAAACCACCCGTGTGTGGGAGTTATTGATGTGAACATTTCTACAACGAAATGTTTACCGAGTGACATCAATCCAGTCAACGCATCGATTGCGTCAATCCTATAGAGCCGGTTATATCTATTTATAGCTGTGTTTTCAAACAGCTGCTCTTACACGTGGGTTCATCACAGCCGGTAACCGGTAAACTATTTTTAACATGGCTAATATAAAACCATTTTTAACATGGCTATACATATCAACGGATGAAGCAGGACTTGAATATTTTGTAAGTACTGGACCCAGGACGAAAGGACCCGAACATTTTCTCATCTAAACTGATAGCACGCTTCACTTTCTAACCACCTGTTCTATACATCCAGAGAAAGGCCCCGCATAAATATTTGGACCAGGGGCCTCGTTCAAGCACAACCCTAATAAATAGGGGCCCCCAAAATATCTAAGTTTGGGCCCTTCTAAAGCTTAGTTCTACTAGGTCTATGTATACAGTATGGGGGCCCCCAAAATATTTGAGCTAGGGCCCCCCTAAAGCTTAGTTCTACTAGGTCTATTGATACATTGTAAGGGCCCTTAAAATATTTAATCTAGGGCCCCTCTAAAGCTTAGTTCTACTAGATCTCTGTATACAGTATGGGGGGCCCCGAAAATATTTGAGCTCGGGCCCCTCTAAAGCTTAGTTCTACTAGGTCTATGCATACAAGGTGAAGGCTCCAAAAAGCTAGGATAGGACACCGCTCTATTTGAAAAACATCAACATCTAAAGGACTGAAATACCCAATTCTAGTCAGAGATCACGTTGCACAGCCACGTTAGACCCAAGCCAACACTAAGGAAGGGGGTCTTTAGCTTGTGCTTGACTGTAAAGACGAAGAAATGAAGCATTATGGAGAAGGCCGGTTAGATCGGCCTCAGTATGAATGTAACAGTTTAGGCACTGATCACTTCACTACAAGAAGGAACTAGTTGGATTAAAAGCTCATTATTTTCAATTTTTATGGTTTAAATATAGTTTCGCTAATCCGATTTGTTATTCATTAGTGAATGTGGCAATAATCTATTAATAAATCTGTCGTAGTTATAAGCCAAGAGTAAGTGAA